TTTAGCCTGACAGCAAGATCTCAACTCAAATGTTTATAAAGTCCTTTATGTATAAAAACAACATAGAAATTTAAAGGAATAAAGCAGATATATAGATAGCGTGGCGCCAGTGTACGGCAGCCCCGCTTCTGTCAGTGAGCCCCAGGGCAGCTGTGGCTACAATGTAGCTTGCCACCATCAGTGTGTGCGTGAATGGGTGAATGGGTGAATGAATGTAGTGTAAAGCGCTTTGGTTAAGTCTCCTAACTTGAATAAAGGCGCTTTATAAGTACATGCCATTTACCATTTACCATTTTACTTCTTAGTATCGATTTAAAAAAAAAATGGTTACATAAAACATTGATGGGAAAAGGGGCTACCTCTGCACCATCATTCTGGCAGAAAGCGCTGTGGAGCCCTTTAACTGTGCGTGCAGCACCAAATCTGTGTTTGAGGCAGTCACAGTGGAAGAAAACCCCAAAAAACATGGATAATGATACATAATCAATATTTTCTGATTAAAATATACAGTACTTGCTGTTTTATCTCATCATTTGATTTTGATAGCTGGGGAAAATATGGCAATATATAGTGATACTGCAATATCGTGATAATATCGTATTGTGACCCAAGTATCGCGACATGTATCGAATCGCAACACTCATGCCAATACTCACCTCTAATTGACAGTTTACAGTAGGTGAGAGAAGACAGAATGTGTTTAAATATTCAAAATTCAATTCTGAGAATGCAGATGTTTTAACTAGATCCCATTCTAATAAAAAACATCCCTTTATGCTGTTTGGCTTCCTGTCCCAGACCCTCTCACTGCAGATGGCTCTCTCCTGGGCTGCTCTCTCATCTCTGGTCCCCCCGCAGCACCAAGCAGTGCCACCTCCTCCGTCTCCTCTGCTCCCACCTCTGCCACCTCTGCTCTTGATGATTTCAGCCTGCTGTCTGGAGACTCTGTACAGCCTAAAGCGGGTAAGATGCAGGGATCTTAACAAAGAAGCTCTTAATTATAAACACTAGTTTTTTAGAAATCACTTAATTTTGCTCAGTGAAGCTGAAAGTTTTTTTTTTCTTCTTTTTTTTACTGGACAGAAAAAAAACTTTTTTTACCGGGAGAGTGTAGTGTCTTATTTGTTCAGCTGTGGAAAGTCCTCTCAGTTCTTATTTTTCCAAGGGTAATCTATCGACAAAGTAAACATTAAGCTGGTGTTTAATAATTTAAAAACTGCTGCTTCTCAGAGGTAGAAATGCATTAACATCAAAGGATCAAAATGCTGCTTGGCGTGATCTTGCTGCTCCAGCCAGGAATATTGGTTCCTTAGGGGGTTCAAGATCTTAGGTGCAGCTGTCTACCTCTTTATTGCCTTCCTGGTAAAAATGTATGCAAACACATTAAAGTAGAGTAAATTTTTAGTGCAGTAACACAGTCTAACACTAGAAAATGTAACTAAACCCCATCTATTTTTTAAGTTTATTCAGCAGGTTAGGGTAAATAATCCCATATTTGGAAATACACATTTTGTCATTGTTTTACCCTTAACACATTTATAAGGATTAATTACTAATTAATTTGATAACTTTCTGAAGTAAAAATAAGTTTTTACACAAAGAGTTGTTTCTTTTAGCCTGTGGTCACAAAGAATAAGCGATGTTTGTCATGGGCTCAGGGTTATTAAAGTTAACCAAAACTATTGAAAAAAATAAAAACCTATAACTCACTTTAACTGTATTTTGTATTTATAAATTTAACAAAAACATACAGAAATTCTTTTTTTTTTTTTTGCTGCATGTCAGGTTACCCCAAAACCTAAAAAAACTGTATCTTGTGTTGAGGAGTATGATAATTTAATAAATACAATACTCGTACTCGTCGTCTCCCGCTTTATCCGGAACCGGGTCGCGGGGGCAGCAGACTAAGCACAGACTCCCAGACTTCCCTCTCAACAAACACCTCCTCCAGCTCTGTTGGAGGAAGCCCTAGGCGCTCCCAGGCCAG